ATATATATATATATATAAAAAACCAACTGTAAACTGGCAGAATTGCCTACTATATGTTGTTGACATTAGTTTTTCTTCTTCATTGTGGTGTTGCAAAGGCACTGGTTGATGCTGGAGACAAGCCTGCAGGATTTGTTGGGTCACGGCAATGGATTGGTTCAATTGAGGTACAGCTTGTTTTGAATCAGCTTTTTGGAATAACATCAAAAATATTATTTGTCAGGTAAGAATCAATATCTGTTTAATAGCTCAGTAATTATTAAAAAGACTGAATTCCTTAAAATGCAAATTGTCATTACAATACATGGGAGAACAGGGATAATAGAAGAGAGAAATATTTTAAGGGTTCCTTGTTCAGGAACCCTGTGTTCCTGCCTTTGGTTCTGCTAAGTGCTTACAGATGAAGGTGTTGCTAAATTTCTTGGTGGCTTGGGGTTCCAGTTTGCAGTTGCTATAAATTGCTTAAGGATATGCAAACTGATACGGAATTCGACCTGTTCCTTTGCAGGACAAACTAATTCTTGAAGCAGGCACGCTGTCTGGCAGTCATAATGAACTGAATGAATGCTGACAGGAAATTTTTACTTTGCCCACAGAGCTAACCCATCAGTTCAGGATTGAGGCAAATTGCTGAGCAGCCTGGAAATAGTGTTCTCTTTTCTGGGTTTGTGTGACAGAGAAAACAAAGGGTTTGTTTCCATTTGATAATCTGACACTCTGATCCACAATAAAGGATGCTGCGAATATATTTGGGAGAAAAATAATAATGTTCAGCATTTATCAGAAGTAAAATTACTGGATTTTTATAATTTAGGCAGCACTAAGGAGACTAACAAATCCCTGATCATTTTATGATAGGGGGATACAGTCATGAAATAAAGAATATATACTAACTTAGCATGTAAGAAAATTCTAGTCAAGCAAAATACTACTCATGAGTTATATTTATTTAGAGTAAATTCTACTGTAGATATTCTAAAAGAGCATGTGACCATGGTGATGGTGATTCTTAACAGTAGGAAAATAGTTCAGTTCTTCAATATTTTGTAAAGATTTATACATTCAATTGTAGTCTTTTTTTGTTCCAGAGCTCATACTTGCAGCTGTGACAAGCCCTGCCAGTATGAAGGTTTTTATTCCCGCACATAAGAATATAGAATAGATTCCTTTGTGAACTGGGTAGAATTGCTCCTAGTGCTGCTACAAGGGAGCACCAATGTCACTACCATGCTGAGAAGAAGAAACATCATGCTGGTCACTGGCAGCAGATAGCATTTTTGTCTTGAGCTTGTTCCCAGCTAGCGCCTCTAACTCTATATGGAAGTAAGACTTCACAGCTGCACCAGCAACACTATAGTACTGAATCGATTAGTGTAAATGCAGCATTTCCCAGAGTTCTGGTTTTGTATGCTGTCTGCATTTAATTCATCTCTCCAGGAACTTGAGAAGCAGGCACGCAGGCTTTCTTGGGGTTTTCAAAAGGTTAACCACTATATGAAGAAATGTAAAGACAAGATATTAAAAATATTTGTATGAATTTCCTTGCCTAGCTTCTGTCAGCACTTTTGGGTTTACTGTCAGTCCTCTAAGGGGAATATGAGTCTCTGTCAAACATATGTCTTCAGCTCCAAATCCAGGAGTACGTGCGTGTACTGTGCATGTGCTTTTCTCTTCCATGTAGACTTCTTTTGTCTGTGGCTGGTCCCCATAGTTGAGGAAAGCAGGGAAATGATAGCAAAGCTAAGTTCAGTACTGCGTTCAACATTTTATGTTGTTATTTCAGATTTGACTTTTAAAGCCAGCTTGCGTAAGAGTACTGCAATTGCTTCTGCAATTACAGTGGAAACCTCTCTTAAGAGATGTCACTATAAACGCCTTTATCAACACCTTATTTTTGTTGTTTCTGAGGAAGTTCTGTTACTGCAGACTTTCCCTTGCTGACAGAAGTAGCCAGTCTGTTTTCCAGCCACTTGGAGGCACCCATTGGGGTTTACCAGCTGTCCCCACTGTGGGAGACGAGCAGCCAACACTTTAGAGAAGCTGGGTGACTCCAGGTGCTCCAGTGGCAGCTATGCTTGCAGCAGATTCATTGGTCCAACCAGATCTGTAAGTTGCATTAAAAACCTAATTTTTCAGATTGTTCCAGGATGTTTACACAGGAAAACTCCAAGCCACTTTCTAATCAGTTACCTATGGCAGTTAATTAGTTTAATGGATAATTAGAGAATTAAGCCTAGTGAGAATGATAAATCTATTGTTTTCTTACCTAGCCAGGGTTCTCAACTAGCATTGCAGGGAAGAGAGCTTGCTAATCATTTCAAGACTGAAGGAACTCCGGTTATGATTGGTAAGTGCTTGAGTATTGAAGAATGCTAATGGAAATGTGTGGCCTCCCTGTGTGGAATTTCATTTCAATTAGAACTCATTCAGTTTACTGTACAAGAGTTAATCAAAACTCTAGATGAATTAAAAATTATGCTTTTCCCAAGGGAGCCTAGAAGATGATACAATTTAGTCTGGCTGGTATCTTTTCAGTCAGTATTTCTCTCAAGCTCAGTATTAAACCTGGTAACAAAAGTCAAGGTAAATTACGTTCTTAAAAAATGCTGTTAAAGTCAGAACTTGAGAGCTGACTTCTGCCCTCTAGAGGAGAAGAAGTTCATACAGTTCCTCAAAAAACTTCCCATGACAGAAAAATAGTGTTTATCTGGGTTTGAAGAGAAGGGTATTATCCAAATTCTTTTTAAGACTAGTTTTAAAAATCTGAAATGTTGGTAACATAAGAAATTACATTTGTAAGAATGCCGGTAACACAGCTGTGGTTTAGAACATGAAGAATTTTTATCATTTTCAGCTTTAATAAAACTTTCATTTTAGCAATGTATGCAATCTATATTTGACACTCCACAGAGATAGTGTTACACTCTCAAATTAGAGGTACCAGAAGTCCCCATTTTGGTATGAAATATTCTTGGCCTTTCAGCAGCCTTTTTGTCTGAATTTTAAGAATTTAGAATCCTATATTGAAAAAATCTTGTAGTTGTAACTTGTCCTTCCCTGTAATGCTCTCTTGTAGATTGGTTTAATTGTTGTTGTTGTTGTTGGAGGGGTGGACGCTGGGTTTTTGGGGTGGGTTTTGGGGATTTTTTTTTTCTTGTGTTCTTTTGGCATTTTTTCAATTTGCATCTGTTGTGTGGAGTCATTACTACAGTATCCGAAGCATTTCAGAAAGAAACATGCAAGAGCTGACCTGTAGCCAGCTCATCAAAACATCCCCTTTTCCTGTTTGCAGGCTAGAGAAAGAGGAGTCAGGAGTTACTACTCTGCCCCTAATAACCCTTGATGGAACTTTGTAGAAAACAGCAGATAACCCTTATCTGGAAATTATGATTTCTGTTCTAATCTTAGCCCTTTTACAACCAGGAACTTTTCCAGATTCCTTTTCTACAGTTAAGTTTCTTTAAAGAAAAAGGGAGCAAAAGAGATGTTTGAAATATTCTTGACTTCATCTGGTGGAAGTGTTGAAGATTTAACCTGCCTTGCTGACATGGAAGAAATTTGGAAAGTAAATTCTCTAGTTGTAGTAAGTAAAGTAAAATAAGTAATCTCCCCTAGTTGTAGTAAAGATATATGTTCTTTAATAATGTGAAGAATCTTATGTAGGACAGCTTCAGAATAATTTTGATAAAAGCTCATCTGTTAATAGAAAGTTTTTATGTGCTTTTATTTTAGGCTTGTACATTTAGCCAATCTCACTGAAAAATTTTTAGCATTTTGTGTTCCTCCTATTTTAGGTGGAGGTGTTTTGGCTCACACCATATTAGGCGTGGCTTGGAATGAGATTACAGGGCACATAAAATATTTGATTCTAGACCCACATTACACTGGAGGAGAAGATCTGCATGTTATTTTGGAAAAGGTGAGGCTTGATGCACATGTACGTGTGTGGATACACATGTATATACATATATTTTGGCATTAAATAATGTACAGTCAAATACAAACTGGTCTTTCTATGGCTCCTCCATTCCTTATGGAGGAAGTATTGATCCCAGTTAACCTGCATATATGCTACTTACTGTTAGTTTCTGAAACTTAGTGTGTTTGTAGAGCATATACTGGGTCAGCAACTACATAAAGTTACTATAGTACAAATAAATGTTCTTTACTTTCTCTGAATTAAACCATCTCCCCTTTTATCCAGTAGTATATACAGGAAATGTGTTTGGTATTTTGAACAGAATAGAAAAATCTGTTCAGCCTGTAAAATCCTGTTACTGAAGCAGAGAAGATAACCATTTATTTAAAATTTTAAACACTTTTAGAAAAATCCAGCACTAGGCATTCTCAGATCAGGTCTTGAACTGAGTGTAAAGGGCAGGAACTGAGCTGTTTTGAAAACCGAGGAAAATTCTAAAGAACTAAAGGTTATGTAATGTTATTTCCATATTTAAAGCCACTAAGAGGGATGACACAGCACATTATGAAACAGTGAACATAGTAGAACATAGGCAGAAATGTAACCCATGAAAGGGGCTAAATCATCCTAGGGGTGTTAAGTAATCAATTTATTTTCTGTTCTTCATATTAAGTTGCAAATAGCAACTCTTACTTAATATCTTTATTTGATACCCTTGGGTTGATCCTGACCAGAAAAGCTGCTGAAGAAACATTTTGCTATCCGTTTAATGATCAAAGCATTAAATCAATACAGAAAGAAACAATTTCCAAAGGAGGTGGAGAACCAAAGGCTGTTCCAGGTACAAAGTGTTCAGGAGTGGTCCAGAAGGATAAAAAACATGCAGAACCCCCCTTCCTCTTCAGAAGCGGAAGGAGAAACTGAGGTGGACTAAAGTCTGTAGCTCTTTTCTTCAAAAACACCTCATAGAATTATTTGGTACTCTGCAAACTTAAGAGCTTTGTTCCACTGTTTTTCTGCTAAATAATAATCAACAGCACACCTTCTGATATCAAGAGCTCTGTTTGGCTCTGAAATAGCAACTATTACCAAAGAAGGCAAGGATTCAAGACGAGAAATGGAAACTGAGAATGATACGAGTTTCATAATAATGTTAGTCTCTCTGTAGCAGCAGAAGGTAGTAGGAAGTAGGGTTAAAGAGATGCTAATTTTTAGGAACTGAACTGGTGGGGAGGGAGGAAGGAGGAGAGACCCTGTAAAGTGTTTTCCATTAATGTGTTTCTGGGCATGTGGAGAACTTTCTGAAAATAGTGTGTCATCACATTCTGTAGATATTTGAAAATAATTCCTGCATCTTAGATTGAAATTAGGAAAAAAAAAAAATTCAGTTGTAGTAGGAAAAACAGAATTCATAGTAGATTTAAATGCTGTCTTGCTTTTTCTTGGACAGGGCTGGTGTGGATGGAAGGGCCCAGAGTTTTGGAACAAGGACGCCTATTATAATCTGTGCTTACCTCAACGACCAAACACTATTTAAATTCCACTCTTATGCTGGAACATGTTGAGCCAGAATACTAGCTGATCTAGATACAACTGTCTTGTTATTTATCAAAATCATGCTTTAAGTCAATTGAAACCCCATTGAAATGGGAAGGTTACTTGAGTAATTAAGAAATATTTTTTTTTAAATGAAACCTCTTAAAAATAAGAGTTATTTGCTGTGAACTGTATTTCTTACAAATACACCTACTAGGTAACTAATACTGTCTTCTTTTGGCTAGGAAAACTTTGTTTATACAGCATTTTTTGTTATGCTAAAATCTTTACAGATTAATGCCCAATCCTTTCATTTTATGGAATTCTTTCTTGCCAGGACGATGAACTGTTCTCTGCCTTTCATGTTCAATATAGCCAGCTGTCTTGTGCACTGTGAATCCATTCAAAGGCATTGTTTGCTGCTGCTGCTGTTGATAGAATAGCATTTTAGAAGAGTGTCCTGGTTTGTCTGGGACAGAGTTAACTTTCTTCATAGTAGCTAATAAGAGGCTGTGTTTTGGATTTGTGCTGAGAAGAAAGCTGATAACAGTATAAACTGCTGCCAGGACAGTCAAGGTTGTTTCAGCTTCTCTGCTGTGCCAGTGTCTGCAGGTGCAGGAGAAGCTGGGAGGCAGCACAGCCCCAATTAATAGCCTAGGATTTGATTGTGGGTTTAGGATTGAGACACAAACTGGCCAATGGTATATTCCATATCATGCATGTCATGCCCAGTGTATAGATGAGGGTCTTCTCCAGAAGTTCTCTCTTGCTCTGGGTTGCCCCTCTCTGAGGGTTGTCTCAGTCCCTCAGACACTCAGGCTCTTATCTCCCTTCTGGGATTGCAGTTTTGGGACTCTCCCTGCACTGGGATCGTTAGCCAGGAACAGGCCAAGCCTTTGTCATAGGGTGGTGAGCAGTATCACTGTGTATCACCCATTTGTATATTTGTATGTATTACTATTATTATCATTATTTCAAATATTACTGTAGTTTAGTTCTTAAATTGTTCTTGTCTCAACCCACAAGATTATTTTCCCTTCACCTCTTTAATTCTCTCCCCCATCTCTGGGAGAGGGGAGGGTGAGCAAGCGGTTGTTGTGGTGTTTTGCTTCCAGCCAGGGTCAAAACCACAACAAAAAGAACTGGGAGAAAAATGGCTACATGTATTTAATTCTATGAATTTTGTTCACATTTTTACATAGAAACACGTGAGAGAATTGTTATATGCTCATTTATTTATAGCTGTATGCATATGACTGTTCTAGCAAAAAAAAAAAAAAAAAAAAACCACAAAACCCGCAGCAGTCTTCTCTAAGAAGTAACAATAAACGACCTTTCCTCCTTCTCAGAAGGAGACAACATACCAGCATACACATCCGGTTGTTCAGTGCACAGTCCAGTCATGTTTCTTCAGACTTCAGATTCCCCTTGATTTCAGTTTGGGATTACAAGCTGTTTCTTTTGTCAGTTAGGAGATAAGATCTGTCATATGAACAAACAAGAATATGTCTGTAGCAACTCCATCAGTATATAAATAAAAGTACATATTATTTCTTTTTTTTTTTTCTCTCCACGTTGAAGTAGCCTTTTCAATGGCATTCCCCATGCGCTATCTATTTTCAATAAGGCCATAACCTGAAATACCTATGCAAGCTCATATTTACTATCAGGCTTCTAAATCCAACTGCTATGTATCCAACACCAAATTTATTTACTTAAGTGCTAAAAGCATTAAAAAAAAAAAAAAGAAAAAGAAAAACAAACCAAAAAACATTCTGAACTGTAGTAAACCACCACTACTACACACCCTCTGATCTTCTCCTCTTCCTGCTTATGGATCTGCTGGTTTTACTTTCTTGTTTCTGTGCAGCTGCATCCTCTCTCAGTAAGCCACCTTTGTCAGTCAGTGAGTAGCCAGATTCTCCTCTCAGTTTCATTGTCTGAGTGTGCTGAATGGTTGTGAGGAACTTGGCACATTCCAGAAAGCCATAAGCCAGTGCGAGGTCTGCTGCTGTTTGTCCACTGTTGTTGCACAAGCTGAAACAATTAACAATAACCATTCAATTAAATTGGAATAGATGTATTAAGAGCAAGAAAGTGGTAACTTTAGACAAAGGTGTAAAAATAAGTAGAGAATCAATACCAAGAAGGCTTGCCAAGGATAGAATAGGGCTCTGCATATACAGAGGGTTGGTATTAAATGCAGTTTTTAAGGAATTGTTACTTGAAAATAAATTTGTCATCAGACTATGAGTGGCTTAGCAGATCTGAAAGTCAAGAGGAAGGTGAGCACAGTGTTAGTCAGAATGGAAAACTAACAAGGAGAACTCACAATCAGAAATCTTCTCTTAGCAGTTACTATGATGTCTTTAACATGGAATTAAACAACAGCATATGGCCTATGCTACTTTGGTGCATACATCTATGGTAGTTTTTAATACTGCTCTTATGACTATAGTCACACTATATTTACAGTCTGAGCATGCACACTCTGAACCAGAATTAGTACTGTGTAAAACAGATGTCCTTTGACACTCCTATGAAATGACTAAATGTAGCTCAACTTACTCAATTTTGGCATCACCAGCAACAAGGAGAGCAAGACATTCCAAACTCCCAACTTTTGCTGCTTTATGAATCGGGGCTTCTCCCAGGCAATCCTAAAAACACAGTTTATATGTAGCAGTCATTTGAAGGGAAGGGAATAGGATGAAGCTATTTTGTTCTCCAGCATGACTGTTTACAGGATGTTACCCTCTATACCAGTCTGTTGTGAGTTGAGAAAGAGATTAAAGGAATACTGCTAGTAAAGTGTACTCAGTAACTGCCATTAAATGTTCAGTGTATTCATTCCAGCAAAGCAGAAATACTATCCCATGCACTACTCATTGTTTAACCTTTACCTTCTAAAAGATTATTGACACAGAATATGCTCTGTACACTTATTAACCGCCTCTTTCAGCACTATTCAGGGATTGCTGTGACCGGTAGCTTGCTGCTCCCAGCTCAGAGGTATAAGCAGATTAAACTTTGCAGCTAGAATCCTTATGCTTACTGGAAGCAGGGGCAAAATTTCAGAGGAAAAAGGAATACTCGTTTGTGTAAAAGAATTAAGTTCTTTCAACATCTGCATGCAGCACTAGTAAGTGTGAAAATTGTATTATACATAGCAAATGAAATCGCTAATACAATGCAGACAGGGTTTCTGGGCCATACGAGAATAAAGTTACTCTAAAATAAGCAACCCCCAATACCTTATGCAATACAAGTGTGTATATAAAACCTTTCTTAGATAAAAAAAATGTAAATAATATAAATTGGATTTGCTGACATAACAGATTATTAGCGGGAGAAACAAAGCGTCAGTATTTTTACCTGTTGGTTCAAATTCGCTCCTGTCTGCAGTTGCCAAAGTAGGAAGAAAGCTTCACCACCACAAGCAGCCAAGTGAGCTGGAGACTGACCAAAGGCATCTGCAGGTGCGTTCACACCGGTTCCTGCCTCAAACAGATTGCTGAAACTACCAGACTAAAATAAACAAGATATTAAAAAAAACAAAAAAAGCACAGTGTTACTGCCAGTCTAAGCCACAGCACATCCAAGAGCGCTTCGTCACAGCAGAAAACATCCCCTTCGCCAACCATCGGACCTTTCTGATCCTGGAGACTGCCCTTTAAAAAAAGGCAATCCAAGAATGGCTTTTTTGGCTTTTAATCTCTTGCCCAGATACACCGATCGATGTCGGCAGTGTCCCAACACATCTAGCAGCAACTACACCTCAAACAGTTTCGTAGCTGGGCTCCCGCTGAGAGAGAAACGACCGCCCGACCCTCTCCCGGCCTCACCT